GGACAGATGGAATCATCTTGAGAACCTAATTCATTCTGTGCGCTGCCATTTGTCATTCTGTGGAAGTTTAGCTGAGGACAGTTTAGCTGAGAAGAGTCTTATTGAATAATGAGGTTTCATAGAGAATAGGAAGGATCTTTGTGCCAACTGCTGTCAGTGCTTAGTATAATTAGAATCATGATGTGGGAACCAGAGATGTTAGCAGAATTTGGAGATAAAACAAAGTGGTTGGATTTATCTGTACTTCTAAAGATAAGCTGGGTCAAAGAGGGAACAAAATCTTTGTGGAGTTGGAGACATTTCTGTGCTACAGCCAGAGAGGATTCTGTAGTGAAACACTGAAAAAAGAGTTTGTGCAGGAAGTTCAGTAAAGTTAAGAGTTTTTCACTAGCATTTTGACAGTAGTGTAGTTTGCTCTCAGGTAGGAGTCAGAGCTTTGCCAGCTGTAGGAACCACAGCTGCCAATACATAGGCATAAATTTTCTGTTTGTAATCGATGCACTCATCTCCGTTGTATTGAGACAATGGAGATGATTTCATTGAGGTATTTTCTCAGTAAAAAAGATCATCTGATAGGTTGAAAACTTTAGGGTAATATTGTCTTTGAACAGCAGTTCTCACATGATGATTGTTATCATACTGTCAGGAAATGGTTTTTAAGAGGAGTTTACTGAGCAGGAGTTTACTGAGCAGGAGAGTAAAAACCTTAAAACTTAATGCCATCTACAGCATCAAGCAAACCTGTTTGACTACTGACATTTGTTTTTTTCTTCTGTGAATGCTTGTGTCTCCTACCTTCTCATCCAGATTGTCTCATTTTCTGTAGTTTTATTTAATCAGTTTTCATTAGGCTTAACAGAATGTTTCAGCTGGCATGTGCTATATCTATTTCCTCTTTGGATCTTTCTGTTGTCAGTCATTGCAGTGTAACCCATTTTAGTGCAATGCTTGTTGCTTTTGCAGTTGCTTCATCTGCAGATTTTGAGTAGCCATGTGCAATGTCTAATGAAATAGCTCTTACAAATAAAGGTACAGCCTGATCTTGCCATGAATTTTACTCATTTCTGAACAGTATGGGATATTCCCCTGGATTTATCCAGTTTAAGGTTTCTGTCATGTTTTGCTCTTCTTTCTACTTTAAGAAGGCTCTTTCTGCATTCTTTGCTCAGTATACCGCTAAAAGAAAATCTGAATTTTGTATAAAGTCACAAGACCTTCCTAGCTAGGCTCTTCTGATGATATTAACGTTAACAGGCAGTTTATCTGAACTAGGCCTGAGACCAGCTAAAATGTGCTCTAGGAACATGTTCAAAGATTTCAGTCTTTCTGGGATTTTAAGATAATCCTGCTAATTTGAAGACAGTTTGTATTCCTGTCCTTTGTTAGAATTGAATAGGACTACACATCAGGTTAAGAATGAGCTTGGAGGGACTGTCAGCAAACTATTTTCTTATTTTTTAAATGTGCATGATCTTACTTGCAGATCTGTCCATTAAGTGCAAGAAGTAGCAAGTTGGGATCCAGCAGTATAGTAGCAGAAGAGTAACAGGTGGTGAACTGAATTTTTCACTTTTTCCCTAGAACTTTGTCATCACTGATTTATAGTTCTGTTGTTCTAGTGTAGCAACACAACTGGAACAGAGAATCATGGTTCTGGTACCATTGAAGTGTTAATCCAAGTGCATTTGGGGCCTGTGAGTGTGAATGCTGGCTCTAGTGTCCCTTGGGTGAGGATTTTTCTGTGTGAAATCCTGAGTTTGGTGCTTTTGGGTATGTTTCATGTTTTTCGGAAGGGGCCAGGGATGTAAATATTGGCACTGCTGCCTGAATTGTGAGTCCTGCTGTGCTAAAAACTAGGAATGTGAACAGTCACATTTAGTGCTCACTGGGATGTGGACTTTTCAACAGCTGCAGTGTGGAATTGTGAATTCTGGTTGTCGTACTCTGGAGTGTAGATTCTGCTGGGAATGGGATCCTGGAATTTGAATGTAACTTTTGTGTTTTTAGAGTAAGTTGAGAATGGAAAAGGGAAAAATCTGGATTCATACTGTCTCTACAGCGTACCCGTCCTTTGTCTGCCAGTGATGCTGAAGTGAAAACCCCAATGCCTTCAGGCAGGGAAAAAGTAACAGGAAGGCAAGGCACCTCTGTGCTAGGTCTCTCCATGGAAGAGGTAAGGCTATTAAATCTCTCTTATTTACCTTGGCTTTCAAGCAATATGTATGGTTATTTGCTCAGCAAAGAACAAGTGCATCTATATGAAAAACATGACAGAAGTAAAATTCTTGAAATAAAACTGCTGGATTTTACTGCTGGTACTTCCCTTGCCCTCACTCATGCTAAGCATACATATGTACTCCAAGCAGTGAGAGATTCCTTCAGAATCAAAATGCAAGATAAAATTGCTTAAGGATATCATGTGTACCCAGCCCACTCCCAGGACTGCAGTAATAGTCTTGTCCTCTGAAACTCAGAGGCTTTTTTAGGGTTCATTTTTCATTGTATCTATTTTGCTGTTGTTCCCCCTGCCCTTTTTATTTGAAGATAAAAGTTCTTTGTCGAGTGAGAGAGGAGAATGAACGGAGAGGAGGCTTCATCCGGATATTCCCTACCCCATTAACATGGGAACTTTATGGGTAAGAATAAGAATCCAATAGGATGACTTTAAGTGTTGCACTGATACGCTGTGTTGAGGGAAATTCTATGTTAGATATATGTAGATCAACTGGCTTAGTAATCAGAAAGACACATATTGAGGTTTTTGTTAGTTTATTTCAGTGCTGAGGATGCTTTTTTCTGCTTTTTTCCTGGTCCCTTGTTTTTAACTGCTGCTGCTTTGCCTAACTGCATGTCAAGCATTGTGCTTTTCTGTCAGAATAAAAATGTCTTTACTTCAGAAAAATTCCTGCTATCTTCTTTTACATCCTAGAGCTGTGCTTACTGTGTATTGTCCTTAGGCCATAAGCTCAATGTAGGGCTCATCATGTGAGTGATACTATATTACGCTTTTCTAATTTTTTCCAGTCTGTAATGTTTCTCTGTGTCTCTTGCCTCACCAGGATCTTCACCTGAGAAGTGATAGGTCTCCTCCTTTCCTCTTTTCTGTTATGGTACAGCATATTGTCTCAATCCACCTCTGGAATATTTTTAATAAATTATTATTTCTGTATTATGCTGCCTTTCATTGTGTTGAGCTCTATTTTGATACCTCCTCTATTTTGTTTTTCTAGATCTTTTTTAGAACACAAGACATCAATGAACTACATGCTGGCTACACATCTGTTTAAGGACAGGTAGAAATCTTTTCTATTTGGGAAGGAAGCAGAAGGCACAAACAGCATGAAAAGGATTGATTTCTCACTTATCCACTGTTATAAACACCAGCCTGTGATTTACAGGTGTGGTCATAGTTGCATGTCTCTTCTCTTGTGTGCCAGTGATTCTGGAGGTTTTATGTGTAGCACTTCTGAATCCAAGGGCAAAGAGAACAATACAAAAAATATTACTATAGACATGAAAAATCTTCAAGCACCTATGCTTCCTTATGAAGGGATTATAGGTGGCCCTTGCTTACCTTTTGTTTAAAATTTAAAGTCACATTAGAGCTTGTCCTCATGTAAAGTAAGCACTTAAATTTACTTTTTTTTCCCTGCTATATACTTTCCGAGAGGTGTCTAGAGGGTAGCTCCAAATGACACCTCCAATTTCAGCCAGACAGATGAAAGCGTCAACTGTAGAAGAGCTGTTTGGATTTCCTCTTTTGGAGCTTTTTTTCCTTGTTTCTCCTTTAAGATGGAAGTCACAATGAATTCTGCAAATGTGACCTTTTCATTGTACTTATGAAAGACTTTGGAGGCATTTTAATCTAGTCAGAAGGTAATTTTTGCCATTTTTCCCTTTGTAGGGGCAAGATGAAAAGAGACTTCCCCACTGGGAGATCCCGGTAAATCGCTTCTTAAATAATTTGTACTTTGTAGGATTTATTCTAAATTTAGATTTTCACAGCTTCATCTTCCAAGTCTTCGGTCAACACTTTTTCTATCTGAAATCTATCAAACTCATTTTAGAAAAGTGAACACATTGAGCTCAGGGGATCCCAGCATCTGGAGAGCTTAAGTTTTGTTGGACTGGATCATAAAATTGCTCCTTTTAGGCTCCCTACTTTGGCATTCCTACTGATAAACTTCATCATTGAGTTCTCTCAAAAGATCCTGTAATGCATGAGGGCTTTGGATTTTATATACCTGTGTATTCACTTTGCTAGATCTAAAAGATAAATGGAGCAGCAGGATTTTCCTAGAGATGTTCCCACTTACATCATAAAGAGCACATTGCTGGATCTTTGTGCACTGGCAGAAGGTTATGTTTGTTCCTCTTAAGGGATCTGTCAGGGCTCTTTCTCCCTTGGTTTAGGCAGAACTTGTAGGAAGATTGTAAATTTTCATTTAGATTATTTTAAAATTCTTAACTCTGAGCAAACAATGAAGAACAAGCTGTCTACATAAAAGGTTTGGAGGCTGGACTTGGATCCATGTGCTCTCTTCCCACTCCTCTCCATTGTTTTCTACTCTTCAAATTCAATTTTCCCTATTAACTGTGCCTTGAGCTGCATGACGGACAGATGCTGCTCAATCTTGAAAGCATGACAATAGGTAAGTGCATTTTGAGGCTTTCAGATGTTGTTCTGTAAAGTACTTGCAAGACTCCCTTCAAACATTTGCAGGCTTTAAATAGAGCAAAGTTAGACTGATCATAATTACTTCTTCCCTGTATCAGGAAAATTAATCTATTAAGTCTCTTTTGTCATCAGAAAGAGAAGTATAAAGGGAGATTGAGAATGTCTCTGTATTATGCTTCCCAGAGCAGGTCTTAATGGAAAGCTGGGTGTGAGGCTGGAAGCTGTAGACTCTCATGCTCTCTTTTATGAGAGAAAGCTTGTTTCGCTGGAGTTACGGAATCGCCAGAGATGCAATGGCAAGTCTAAAGCAGCACAGACAGGATCACCAGGTATGCATGGCTAAGTCTTAGATGATCAGCTAGTCAAAACCAAGTAAGCAAGGATTTTTTCATTTGAAATGTGTGTGAATGGGGTTGTTCTGGCCTCTGTAGTCCCTAAAGGGTTTCACAAGTTGAAGTTAATAGTTTTCATGTCAAGTGTTAGTGGTTTTCACTTCATTCCTCTTACGAGCTCCATGCCTTCTTAATGCCTAAAATTTCATTCCCACCATTCCACATGCCCACGTAAAGAACTAAAGATAATCGGTATTTTCTTGAAGATGAGCTTGCAGTTGCATTTTTGGTTACAACAAATCAACAGTATGTATGCCTTTATAGTCCACCTTTTCAGAGAAAGATGAAATCTTGGGACCTTCCAGGCTGGTTCTCCTACACAGCAGTGTCTCTAAGCTGTTGGAAAGAGAGAAATCTTTCTTATCCAAGCTGACATGGGAAAAACTTAAAATGGCACAGAGGTGAATGATCCTCACGAGTGGCTCTTCCTGAAGCTATTATCTAAAGTCTTTCTAGTAGCTATGTGATACTGACTGCAATGGGAGAGATTGTATGTTATAGAAATATTTTGGTGATATGTTAATGTATGTGATCTTTATTGGCACATGTGAAAGTTTTAGATTTCATAGCTTTGGTTTTTTTGACACACAAAATTACAAAAGATTAGTATATACGTCAAGTATGAGTATCTATATATGTCAATACATACATAAGAATCAGTATAAGATATAGAAAAATGCCTTTGTTTCTTTGATTTTTTTTTCCATTTGTAAATTTAAGACAATACTTATGGTATGTCTTCCCTGATATTGTGAAAAGGGGCTTCTCAACTCTTTGATACACAAGCAGAAAGACAGAATGATAAAGGGCGGTGATACTTAAGGTGCTATTCTAAAATAGTGGTGTTCTGTCCTTCTAGCAGAAAAGAGTTTAGAGGTAAACCAAAGGGTATAAATAGCAGGATCGTCTTCCCAACTTTTTACTTTTTTCTTAACCAGCATAGGTGATTTCTCTTTACTACAGAGACATCAGAACCAATGAAGTTGTCCCTCAAGTCAGGCACAGAATGTGAGGAAGAAGAGGAAGTAGGTACAGATGAAGATGAGCTAGATAGAACTGCTGGCTCTGTTTTGGACACTGATGTGAAAAGTAAGCCAAAGCTCTCTGACTTGGTGAAAACTACTAGTAAGGAGAGGTTGCCAAAAAAGCTTGACAAGAAACCTGGAGATGGAGGAGAGCTGTTTACTCAAAAAACAAACATTCAGATCAACTTGCTGCAGATTCTTCAAAAGCATGGAAATCTGAGGTGAGAGGCACATTGCCTTGAATTTTGACTTGCAGCTAATATTGGTTAAATTATGGGGGATGTACACTTAGTGCCACATTATGAACGAGTGTGAGGAGATAAATGGACCCTGGAGAAAGGGCTCTGGATTTTTGTCTGTGGGCTGCCTTAACTACTTGGCACAGAAGGGAGATTAGTTGTAAAGACTGACAGTTTACCTGTTGGATCAGTATAATGAATAAGCCATAGTTACCTTTGCTGTTCTTTAATTTGGTGATGCAAGTTGTTCTTTGGTCAAATCAGGCTTCTTAAATGCCTCTCAGTCTTAATGCAAGATGCCTGCTATTGAATTCTAAAATTCATCTTTTTTTCTTTGCAACAAAGAAGTGGGTATAAACATAAGTTTACATAAACATAAGTTGTTGGGTAGGAATACCTCAGTGCTGCCTCTCCATAACATTAGTTGTCTCATTTTTGTGCTCTTATTTATGGTGATAGCATTTTTACCTCTGATAATGATCTTTGCTCAAGGTCATCACCTCCTGAGAGCAAGGTAGGAGGTCATCTGAGAGTGACAAGTTACTGAAACATCTTATTGTCTGCTGTTGAGTATGACAGTGTGGAACAGATTATGTTCTGATGTATGGCTCTGGCACTTGAAAAAAATAGACATGCTGGAGGAGATTCTATAGAATAACACCAACCAGGGTCTTAGTAGATGTTTGGAAGGATGATCCTCCCCCTAAATATGGATAATAAAACTATCTATTTGCAGGTGGACAAGAAGGGCAAAAGAAAAGAGTGATAATACATAATCTGTATAGGAGGATTTTATATCTTCTAGATAAGAAGCAGCATTGTTTTTTGAGAAAAATGTCCAAAGGTAGGGAGAATGATTGTTGCTTGTTGTTCTTTCTTAGTTTAGTTTCTGAGAGGAATTATGAATTTTCAAATGGATTTTAGGATTGTTCTGATGTCTTCTTGTGACAAGGACATTTGCTGTTGTGACAGGGAAGATTCTGAAACCTGTTTTGAGGATGAACGTAGCAATGCTGTCATCTACCTATATATAGAACTGACTTCTGCCAAGAATGTAAGCTTTCTCTGGTGTTCCTGGCAGAATCTTGCGCAGTACCCAGTACTATTGGGATTCCCCACAGAAGTGTGTAAGGCTTCTGGTGACCTCATGTTCCAGGATTGTGCTTGGCTTGGTCCACCAGATCTGTCATTGATGAAAGCTTTGCTTGTGGGGTCAACAGGTAGAGGAGCTGAAGTAATGACATTTTCATCCAAAAGAAACCAGGCCTGTTCTGGTCAGTTTTTGTAAGTGATAGGACTTCTTTCACTTCTTTAGTCAGCCTGATGAGGCAGTTTCTCTGCCTTCCACACACTGGGTGTTACTGGTGAAGAGGTGACAGTTGAATGAAACATGTTTCCCTAACCGTGCCATTCCCAGGGAAGTAAAATTAAAAGGGAGTTACTCAGGTTTCAATATTCCACGCACCAAAGGAGAGGCAGTGTTACACAAGGACCTTCTTCCTGAAATCATAGAATAGTTAGGGTTGGAAAAGGACCTTAAGATCATCTATTTCCAACCCCCTTGGCATGGACAGGGACACCTCACACTAGACCATGTTGCCCAAGGCTCTGTCCAACTTGGCCTTGAACACTGCCAGGGATGGAGCATTTACCACTTCTCTGGGCAACCTGTTCCAGTGCCTCACCACCCTCACAGTAAAGAACTTCCGCTTTATACCTAACCTAAACTTCCCCCGTTTCCCATTTTGCAATCACAGAAGCATTAGGTGTAGGCAAAGAACTGTATTACTGTGCTAATGTTGATAATGGGGTCCTTAATTCTTACCAGCACAAATCTTGAACTCTTGGTCATGAAATATTTGAGTAACAGGTTGTTGTAGTGTAAACCGAGTTGGTAACTAAGTCCCACGCAGCCTCTCACTCACCCCTCTCACCTTTTGGGCCTGGCTTGGTCTTCCAGAAGCACCAAAAGCTAAAGATTAAGCAGATGCATGGATACTTTTAACGTATTTTATTTTAGTTTTAATTTCAACTCTTACCTAGATCCGTGCATTGGTCTCTGTAAGTGTTACTATGTTCTATGTTCCTATATAACATTGTAACAAAGTGTTCATTAAATTTACAGACATATAAAACAGAAAGACAATTTGTGGACTGAGTTTTTAATAAAATTTCAGGCACTTGTGTACCTGGAGTCCTGAGGACCATATAGTGTCCGAGAATATTCCTAAGGTGCAGAGAAGAAATAGAGAAAAAAATGGTGAGGTTCCTCAGGAATTGGTCTGAAGCTGATTTTAATAAGCAATTCAAGAATGACATAAAATGTAGAGATGTGCTAATTTAATTTGCTGATGGAAAAGATTTGGAAGTTATTACCATGAGAGAAAAGTAGTGGAATAAACATGGAAGGAGCTGGATGAACTTGAGAATAGGAATAATATAGCTAGGATAAAATTCGCACAAAGTCTAAGGACATGCTTTTAAGAACTAATAATTCACAGCAGAAATTCTATCAATTGTGTGTTCATCAACTGGAAACTAATTATAAGGAAAAATATCTTACATGCTTGTTGATCACAGGAGGTTTGCGAAGCTCTAGCTCATGCATGCATGAAAACACCAAATGTGGTCTAGGGTTTGTCACTTGAGATACTTCTGAGATTTCATGTGTAATATTGTATACACCTGCTATCACCCGTGTTCATGGAAGGTAAATTGTAACTGGACAGGTGGAGATTGGCTGCTAGTCTCATCATGTCACCAGTGCGGGTGCTTTGTTAGAAGACACTGAAAGATGTGGATAGTTCACACTAGTAAAATGAAAACTAAGGAAGGATGTAATTGCTAATAAATACATTGAAGGTAGGAGACCCATCAGGGTATGAAATTGTTTAAGATACAGGGCAATGCTGGAAGAAGAAAAAGCAAATATAAACTGCTCATGAGGGAAGTTAGGCTGGGTAGTAAAGGAAGGTTCCTAATTATTAAAACAGTAAGGTCTGGAATAGTATTGTAGGAAAGTAATGGGTTTAAAACTCTATTAAGATGAAACTTGATAATTTACAGAAAAGATTAGGACATTGCCTGTGATGGAAGAGTAGCTGACACTAAAGCCCATTTACTTCTACATTCTTCTGTAAAGGGAAGGAGAAATTATGTTTGCAATTCAAGGGGCAGCTGATAGTGACTATGGGGAAAACTATGAGGAAGAGTGGAGACTGGGAGAGCAAAATGTTGGAGGAGAGAGTTTAGGCCAAGATGACAATGAACAGATTTAGGCAAAGCTTTTGGTAGTTGGAAAAGTTGATGCATAAGCTAAAGTGACTACCATTGTGAGGGACTGAGAAGCAATGTGTCCCTCCCAGTCCTACCGCAGTGAACTCTCCTCAGTTCACACTCACAGCTTCCTAACATGTTCAGCCAGCTGCACAGCAGATTTTGCTGGTGTTCTTTCATTCTTTAGTGGTGCCTTGCTAAATGAAATTTGGCTCGCGTCCTTGGGCCAGCAGGGAAGAGCTCACTTTCACAGACTTAATTCCTTCATTTCCAATGGGAATTGCAGGGTCTTTGTTATAACTCTGGCACCACTACCAAGCCCTTCATTTGTTTTATGGTTTGTTGTTGTGGTGTTCAAAATGCTTGCGAAGACAGAAGCCCAAGAGAGTCTTGAATTTGGTTTAAAAATACACAGTTCTGCTGATGTTCACATTGGTGGCTTTTGGAGGAGAGTAGCTAAGGCTATGAAAAGCAAGGAGACCGTTCAATTTTTAGAGATGATCTTGGAGAGCATCTGGGGTCTTTTGTATATCCTGCAATACCTACTCCATCTTGGTGAGCTGAAGGACTTGAAAACACTGGCAGGGTGAAAGGGTCCTCTTTCCTTTGAGCTTCAACATTTGTGCACCTAGGAGGTCCTTGCTTGACCGTACTTTGTTGCATAAGCTGTATTTGACTGCTATAACTCTTTCCATTACTACTCTGAAGACAGCTGACTGATTTTTTTGGTCCACAGCAAAGTCCAAGCTCGCAGGGCTTTCTCTGCCTATCTACAGCATGTTCAGTTGCGACTGATGAAGGAGGCTGGTGACCAGATCCAGAATTCTGCCTGGACTGCCAAAGAAGATGAGCAAATGGTAAGAAGCTTTGTGTTGGCCAGACTGAGAAGCCAAGCTGTAATCTGCCATGAGAGTTTTGACGTCACTTCCCATCCTTGGAAGAGCTGAAGTCCAAGTGATATTATAGTTGTCTACTGTAGTCCAGCTGCCAATGCTGTATTCTTTATATGCAGACAAGGTAGGCTGCTGACTGACATCTGAGCAGCAATAAGAGTAGACAGCTCTTAATGACTAGAGTGTGGTTCATATTCAAGCTGCTCAGATCTTTCTCTTGGTTCTTGTTCAGTAATCTCTAAGCTTACTGGCTTTTGAATTCCTCTCTCTAAGATTCTTTAAGATAGCTTGACAGTGTCTGGTTTCTGTTGCATTAAAGTATACATGTACTCAAATAGAACAGGTACCCACTTAAGCTTTTTCTCCTGTGTCCTATTTTACCCTTTGCTGGCATCTGCGCTTAGGAATCTTCTTTGTATTTGAGATAGAGGAAAAAAGTAAAAACGACTGAGGAGAGAAAGTTACTTTCTAGCATAGATGTTTTTATTTGCATATTTATTTATTATTTATTTAAAAACCCCACGTGATTAATTTTTCTAGGCCATATTTTAAGGACCTGTATTTGATGTATATACATTTTAAAGAGTGCAGCAAGCCCAGATCCCCTCACGAACCTTCCTAAAATAGCTTTGTACAATAGGCTCTTGAGCTTTCTTGCTGAATACATGTTGCAGGGAAAGAACTAGTGCAAT